AAAGTGCTGGGTGGCAAGTAGGACCTAAAAAATGCATGTCTAAGCATTCAAAGCTCTTTACTATTTTTGAAAAGGCACATTTCAACAGACAATTTCCATCACAATTTTTTCTGGGTGCACAGTAACGGAGAACATCTTTAGCAGGACACGTTTTGTGTCAAATCTTTCGCAAGCCGCTGCTTCTTGGAAGGAGTACATCAAAACTCAATTCTTACAGAGCAGTAGGTTTGAACCGAACGACCAATAGCAATCGCCCGAATGGTTTGTTGGAAGTTTCCTGGATGAAGTCAAAATGGTTCGACCAATAATAACGCTCGCGAGTGTGGCGTGGAAATTTCTTCGATGCTCCACCCCACTGATTCCCGAGTCGCGAACCCAGAAATGCAACCTGTAGGTAGGTTTAGGAAAGATACTCCTTCGCAATCCCTAAAAAACATCCCACCCCGACCTCGCACATTTTGGGATGCATCGCAGCGGGCGAGCAGACCGACACGAATCGGCGTTTACTATGATGTAAACAGAATCAGCCTCCTACTATTCGCAGAGCCGCAGCCGAGCAGACTCAGCATGAGCAAGGGTTGCACAGCGACTGTCAAGCAAGAGTGTCACAACAGAAGCGTGATGTGCAGTCCCGCGTGTGGGGCGAAGAGCGACACGAAAGGGCGACGAGGCGACCTCACAAAGGCGACATGACAGGGCGACGAGGCGACAGGGCGACGAGGCGACATGGCAGGGCGCGTACGAGCGGTGGGCTCACCAGCGACGACGACGACGAGGCGCTTATCGTCGAGCGACGGCGAGCGAGCGAGTGACGTCATCCGGGCCATATGGCTGGATGGAGCCGTGTGAAGCTCGGGGTTGGAAGTCGAACTTGAGGGTAATCGGGGAACCGTGGAGTGGATAAAAAATGACTCCGAGTCGGAGTCTCTAAAGCATGAGGATGAGTGTGAGCTGCGAATAGATGCATACAGCTGAGGCGCGTGATGCTCTTATACGAGGGCGGAGGGGGCGCGCCATGCGAGTTTGTCACCTCGCTTCCACTGCGGCATTTGCGATTTCAGGTGCTAGTACTAGTGGTTGTTTACGCTTCATTGGATAATTGCACTGTGTGGAAGCCACACGACATGACGGAACAAGATTCAACAGCGCGACAGCGCTCAACCCTGGTGCTCCGTTAGCGACGGCGAAATGCCTGCTAGCCGCACCTGGAAACCTGCTGGGCACCTGGAAACCTGCTGGGCACCTGGCGCTTTGATGAAGGCAGGTATCCGTGAGTCACGCTACTACTATTTTTGAGCGATGTTCTGTCGCTTCTTGTCATGCAGGTTACCAGCGCAGAACCTAAAGGGCGCTGAAAAGGTGTATCTATTATGAGTTGTAATGAAAAGAGTGTGCAGGATTCAATAACGCGGAAGTGATAACAACTACTAAGCAAATAATGAGACCTAGCATTAATATAGCGAAGGCTAGCTAGGCCGAGGTCGCGGGACCTTGCATGGTTGGGTGCAAGTTCGGGGTTGGGAAACCCGAACGCGACGAGAGGGACGTTCGGAGGGCGAGGTCATCGGACCGAGCCTAGAACTCCGAAAGTTAGAGTTGTACGCGTATGGAGTGCCTCAATAAGGAATTAGGCAAAATTCCTTACACTACCCCCCCCCCCCCCCCCTGTCAGATTACAATTGTATCTCTAGGCTACAGTAGGGTCACTCCTTAGTGAGTACAACACTTTAGGGTTAGGTTTCCTCTACTTGTACTCACCTCTTGCCTAGTTCAATCATTCATTCCTGCTTATTCTAACATGGTATTAGAGCAGAATCGTTCCTAGGGCCCACCGAACGTTCCGCCCTGCCCTAACCGTAAATTTGTCTTCCTACGCTGCCCCTGCAGCCGCGCTGCCCTTGCAGCCCGCGTGCTGCCCCTGCGACCGCGCTGCCCCTGCAGCCGTACTCGCCCCTGCGACCGTGCTGCCCCTGCAGCCGTGCCTGCCCCTGCAACCGTGCTGCCCCTGCAGCCGTGCCTGCCCCTGCGTTCGTGCTGCCCCTGCAGCCGTGCCTGCCCCTGTGGCCCGCGTGCTGCCCCTGCAGCCCGCGCGTTCGCCCCTGCAGCCCGTGGGCGCTGCCTCTGCAGCCCGCGCGCCGCCCTGCCGAGCCGCGCGTCGCCCCTGCAGCCCGTGGGAGCTGCCCCTGCAGCCCGCGCGCCGCCCTGCCGAGCCGCGCGTTGCCCCTGCAGCCCGTGGGCGCTGCCCCTGCAGCCCGTACGCCGCCCTGCAGAGACGCGCGTCGCCCCTGCAGCCCGTACGCCGCCCTGCAGAGCCGCGCGTCGCCCCTGCAGCCCGTGGGCGCTGCCCCTGCAGCTCGCGCGTCGCCCTGCCGAGCCGCGCGTTGCCCCTGCAGCCCGTGGGCGCTGCCCCTGCAGCCCGTACGCCGCCCTGCAGAGCCGCGCGTCGCCCCTGCAGCCCGTACGCCGCCCTGCGGAGCCGCACGTCGCCCCTGCAGCCCGTGGGCGCTGCCCCTGCAGCCCGCGCGCCGCCCTGCCGAGCCGAGCGTCGCCCCTGCAGCCTGGGCGCCGCCCTGCCGAGCCGCGCGCCGCCCCTACAGCCCGCGCACCGCCCTGCCGAGCTGCGCGTCGCCCCTGCAGCCCGTAGGCGCTGCCCCTGCAGCCCGCGCGCCGCTTTGCCGAGCCGCGCGTCGCCCCTGCAGCCCGTGGGCCGCGCGCAACCCTAATTCTTGAAAAAAAGAAAAAAGAAAATAAAAAATACTACTGCTGCTCCTACTCGTGCTACTGCTGCTGCTGGTGGAGGTGCTGCTGGGAGTGCAGGAGGTGCTGCTGGTACTGTAGGAGCTGGAGGTGCTAGACCTACTCCTGACCGTCACTGTCTGTCATGGCCACTTCCGCGGCATTTGCTGCGGTCAGGGGTGGACAGCAGCGGGCACTACTTCTCCCGGACAACCCCACCCCTCAGCAGCTTCGTGAGTGGGTTATTCAGCGAGGTCGTCCTGGTGGTGGAGGTTATCGTTTTGTTAAGACTGCTTCTCTTGGTGCTAGTGAGTCTGCTGCTACTCCAGGTGCTAGTGAGTCTGCTGCCGCTCCAGGTGCTAGTGAGTCTGCTGCAGCTCTAGGTGCCCGTGAGTCTGCCGACGCTCTAGGTGCTAGTGCGTCTCCTACCACAAGTCCTGCCTCAGCTGAGGTCTTGCACACTTTCACGCTTGACTCAGGCGCGTCACGTTGCTTCTTTCGTGATTGCACCACAGTCACACCACTCACAGCACCTGTCCCAGTCTCACTGGCTGACCCCTCTGGGGGCCCAGTAGTTGCGAGAGCCTCCACGGACCTCCCTTGTCCAGCAGTCCCCTCCGGCTCTCTGTCAGGTCTCCACCTCCCCACGTTCTCGACGAACTTAGTGAGCAACGCTACCATTCAGGATGTCTGGGTTGATACATTTATTCCTGGAGGGCAGCGTGCGGCGATCTGTACGTGCTCCCGGATTGGCCGTCACCTGGCTACGTTCACTCGACAGCCTGTGTCTAGTCTGTACACACTGACCACTGCGTCTGCACAGGTGGCTGAGTCAGGTCAGGTGGCTGCGTCGAGTCGGGCGTCTGCGTCGAGGCAGTTAGCTGCGTCTTGCTCGTGCAGAGTACTCACGCACGAGACTCAGCGCTGGCACCACCGTCTTGGTCACCCCTCCCTGCAGCGTCTACGCAGTATGCACTCCCGTCTCCTTGTCTCTGGCCTCCCCAGGACCCTGCCCCCCCTCCCGCGCTCACTTGCGCCGCCGTGCCTTCCTTGCGTCGAGGGGCGGCAGCGCGCCGCTCCTCACTCCTCCGAGTTTCCTCCGACCACTGCTCCTCTGCAGACTCTCCACCTGGACGTGTGGGGCCCGGCCCCAGTCGGTGGGACGGACCTGGAGAGCTACTTCATGCTGGTTGTTGACGACTACACACGCTACACAACAGTCTTCCCCTTGCGTCGCAAGGCGGACGTCAGCGGTGTTTTGATCCGCTGGATCCGTGCAACTCGTCTCCAGCTGCACGAGCGCTTTCAGCAGGACTTCCCAGTCCTGCGTCTGCGCTCTGACAGGGGTGGTGAGTTCTCCTCTGGCGTCCTTGAGACGTTCTGCCAGGATGAGGGCATCGCCCAGTCGTTCACGCTTTCGGCCTCTCCGGCGCAAAATGGGATCGCTGAGCGTCGCATCGGCCTGATCATGGAGGTTGCTCGTACCTCCATGATCCATGCGGCTGCTCCCCATTTCCTGTGGCCGTTTGCGGTCCGATACGCCGCGCATCAGCTCAACCTCTGGCCCCGTGTCTCTGCTCCAGAGACCTCGCCCACACTCCGTTGGACGGGACAGCCTGGTGATGCGTCGTCGTTTCGGGTCTGGGGCGCGCTCTCCCTTGTTCGCTATACCAAAGCGAGCAAGCTCTCTCCTCGCACTCTCCGCTGTGTCTTCCTGGGCTTCCCCACCGACGCTCCCCCCTGGCAGTTCTACCACCTTGCCTCGCGTCGTGTTCTGTCCTCTCAGGACGTCACCTTCGACGAGTCGGTCTGTTACTACCGACTTCACCCACACGCGTCCCACCCGGTCCCCCTCGCGCCTCTCTTCCTGGTACCAGTCCCCCCCCCCGGTAGACCCCATTCCCCCACAGGGTCCTGCTCCCTCAGGTGTGTCCCAGGTAGACCCACCCCCCTTGGATGAGCCAGTTGAGATCTCTTCTGACTCCTCTGACTCAGCTGAGGGGGTGACGCCGTCGCCGACGACACGGCGTCCACTCGCCACACTCCTCGCTTGGAGACCCCCCCGGGTTTCCCGCCTCGGCCGTCTTCGCCACCTCCGCAGCCTGCTGCTGTGGACTCTGGAGCTGAGGCTGCTGGAGCTGGGCCTGGGAGTGGTACGTCTGGGGGTGACTGCTCTCCTCGTTTGGCTACCCCCCCCGGTTTCCCGCCTCTGCAGCCTTTTGCAGTGGACACTGGAGCTGAGACTGAGCGTACTGAGCCTGCGGATGCTGGGACTGAGTGTACTGAGCCTGCGGGTGCTGGGACTGAGAGTACTGAGCCTGCGGGTACTGGGACTGAGGGCACTGAGCCTGCGGGTGCTGGGACTGAGGGTACTGAGCCTGGGGGTACTGAGACTTTGGGTGCTGACTCTGGGGGTGCTGAGACTTCGGCTGTTGACTCTGGGGGTGCTGCGAGTCCTTCTGGAGGTCCTGGAGCTGGAGGTACTGGAGCTACTAGGCCTGGCGGTACTACTGGAGGTACTGGAGCTGCTGCTGGTGCTGGAGGTGCTGGAGCTGGGGGTACTAGAGGTGCTTCTGGTGCTTGAGGTGCTAGAGCTACCAATACTGGAGGTACTGGAGCTGGAAAGCCACCGCAGCCTGCTCTACTTGAGACGCTTTCGCCGCAGGCGATTCGTGCGCGGGCCGTTCGGCGAGGCAGTCCTGGTGGTGGAGGGTACGGTCCGGCTGCTGCTGGAGCTACTAGTCTAGGAGGTGCTGCTGGTGCTGGAGGTGTTGGAGGTACTACTGGAGGTACTAGAGGTACTGCTGGTGCTAGAGGTGCTGCTGGTGCTGGGGGTTCTGGAGCTGCTGCTGGTGCTGGAGGTGCTGGAGGTGCTGGAGGTGCTGACCCTGGAGGTGCTGGTGCTGGAGGTAATGGAGGTGCTGGAGCTACTGGTCCCGGAGGTGCTCGTACTGGAGGTGCTGGAGCTGCCGGAGCAGGTGGTGCTGCTGGTGCTGGAGGTGCTGGAGGTGCTACTAGAGCTGCTGGCACGGGAGGTACTGGAGGTACTACTGGTGCTGGAGGCGCTGGAGCTGGAGCTGGAGGCACTGGAGGTGCTGGAGGTACTACTGGTTCTCGAGGTGCTGGCGCTGTCGGAGCTCGTGGTGCTGGAGGTGCTGGTGCTACTTGTGCTGGAGGTGTTCTGGGGACACTGGAGGAGCTGCTCGTGCTGGAGGTACGGGAGCTACTGGTGCTCTTTGCCACCTTCTCAGTCTTCCGCCAGGTGCTACTGGCTTCCCTGTGGCAGGTACTACTCCTCCGTTGCTGTGTCCGCCAGTGGACCAGTCACAGCCACCGCTGCTACCACACTCCCCACTGCCTGCTCCTGCTCCTTACACTGCGGTGTCAGAGTCCCTGACTGAGCGTCGAGAGCCTGAGACTCGTGCTTCCACCCCTGAGCGTCGAGAGCCTGAGTCTAGCTTTGACCTTGAGCCTGAGCCTAGAGCTGCTGTCCGTGCTCGTGTTCGTCGTCCGCGTGCTCTGGCTGTCCCCGGCACTCACGATATGACACTCCGTCCTTCCTCTGTTCCTCAGCGTGTTGTACTACCGTTACCTCCTGCGTCCTCTCTGCCTGACATTGCTGACCCTCCGTCTGACCTTGCTCGTGCGTCCAGTCTGACTGTTACTCGCCTTCTTGCTACGGTTGTGACGGACCCTACGTTCTCATCTCCTGCTGCGTCTGCCCTAGTAGCTGAGCTCGTTGACTTTGCTGATGTGTACCTCCTCGACTACCTTGCGAGTCTTGTCTCTGACCCTGTCCCTGCCTGTCCTCCGTCCGTCGGGGGTGAGACTGCTCTTGGCTGTACTGCCCTTGGCTGTGACGTTCTTGAGGACAGACAGGAGGAGCTGGAGTGCCTTGCTGCCGCTTCACCCCATCACGCGACCATGCTGCTTGCCCCTGAGGGAGACCCGGATGCACTTGACATCCCCACCCCGCGCTCCTACAGGGAGGCGATTTCGGGTGAGTACTCCTCTCAGTGGCAGACAGCCATGGACGCAGAGATGGCTTCCTGGAAGTCCACAGGCACCTACGTCGACGAGGTTCCCCCACCTGGGGCGAACATCGTCAGTGGCATGTGGATTTTCAGGGTGAAGCGGCCGCCGGGTTCTCCGCCTGCCTTCAAGGCACGTTACGTTGCTCGAGGCTTCAGTCAGCGCGAGGGGGTCGACTTCTTTCAGACCTTCTCCCCCACCCCGAAGATGACCACTCTTTGGGTGTTGCTACACGTTGCTGCTCAGCGTGACTACGAGCTGCACTCCCTCGACTTCTCGACATCTTTCTTGCAGGGTAGCCTTCACGAGGCCATCTGGTTGCGCCGTCCACAATGCTTCACTGGGTCGTTTCTTGAGGGTACCCAGTGGAGCCTACGGCGACCAGTGTACGGCCTGCGTCAGGCGCCCCGTGAGTGGCACGACACACTGAGGACGACACTTGCGGCTCTTGGGTTTGCTCCTTCGACCGCTGACCCGTCGCTGTTTCTCCGCACCGACACTACTCTGCCGCCGTTCTACATCCTCGTGTACGTCGACGACTTGGTTTTTGCTACTGCTGACACTGAGGCACTGGCCCTAGTGAAGGCGGAGCTGCATGAGAGACACACCTGCACTGACCTGGGTGAGCTGCAGAGCTATCTTGGCTTGCAGATCACCCGGGACAGACCACGGTGCACCATCACCCTCACTCAGTCACACATGGTGCACCAGGTCCTTCAGCGCTTCCGCTTCACTTGGTCCTCACCACAGCCCACTCCTCTGTCTACCGGCCACTCACTCTCAGCTCCACCTTCGGACGAGTCCGTAGAGCCGAGTGGTCCGTACCCAGAGCTTGTGGGTTGCCTCATGTACCTGATGACGTGCACACGACCTGACCTCGCGTACCCTCTCAGCCTCCTGGCTCGCTACGTGGCACCTGGTCCACACCGAAAGGTGCACTTTGATGCTGCGAAGAGGGTACTGCGTTACTTGTGCAGCACATCGGGCATGGGGCTCGTGCTTGGAGGACGGGGTTCGGTGGTCCTCACAGGACACTCTGACGCTTCTTGGGCCGACGACCAGACGACTCAGCGTTCGTCACAGGGTTACACCTTCAGTCTTGGCTCTGGTTCTGTCTCGTGGAGGTCCACTCATTCTTCTTCTGTGCTTGGTTCCAGCTGTGAGGCCGAGATCTACGCTGGGGCCATGGCTGCACAGGAGCTACGCTGGCTGACCTACCTGCTGACTGACTTGGGGGAGCGGCCTCGTTCTCCTCCAGTTCTGTACGTCGACAACAAGGCAATGCTTGCCTTGTGTCGCGAGACTGGAGCACAGAACGAAGCACATTGCTCTTCGCTACTTCCTTGCGCGTGAGCTGCAGCAGCGTGGTCAGCTGCGCCTTGCTTACGTGGCCTCTCGGGCCAACACTGCTGATGTCTTCACCAAGGCCCTTGGGTCTGGTGATCATCACCGTTTCTGCACTACTCTTGGGCTTGTGCCCACTCTGCCTCACTTGTTGGTTGCTTGACTTGCTCTTGTTGTACACTGCTATATATCTTTATACCTGCATGTTTTCTCTTGCTAGGTTGTGATCAGTCTGCCTTGCTATTATATACCTCTGCATGTGAACTGGCCTTGTGGCCACTTGCTTGTGCTCAGAATGCGTGGTGACTTTGTGATCCACCTTGAGCTGCAGACTGGTCTTGTGACCGCTTGTTGTGTTTGCTGTCCCCTACTTTGCCTATGGGGGTGTGTCAGATTACAATTGTATCTCTAGGCTACAGTAGGGTCACTCCTTAGTGAGTACAACACTTTAGGGCTAGGTTTCCTCTACTTGTACTCACCTCTTGCCTAGTTCAATCATTCACTCCTGCTTATTCTAACACCCCCCCCCCCCCTTTTAAGAAAGGTGGTCAATATCCAGCACGCGTCGACGGGAAAGATAATTCCATAGTACCGAGTGGCCTTGCAGCGAGTTGATCGTGACCCACGTGTCATCTTCACTTGTGCTATCAACCCATCGCATGAGGAAATCGACATGGCGTCTTGCCGGTGTCGCACGCACGCGATGAGAGCCAGAATCTTCCCAGGCTTAAGTGTCGGGTCTGCCACAGGCCGAACACTTGGCGCAATGTTGGGGCGGGCGATATCGGACGACTGCGGGGCCACGTAATGGCGGAGCATACTGTCGTGGAAGGCGTCGTGAATTTTCCAGTCATCCAGTAATAGCGTCGTGACAGGTCTCAGCACCCGATTGATGCGAAACGGTCCCGTAGCGGGGACGCAACTTTGCGGGTTGGGGCAGGCGAAGATTCTTTGTGTCCAGAAGGACCATCTGCCCGTCGTTGAAGGGTAAGTTCCTTCGATGTCGATCAGCGTAGCAGCTAGCGACACTAGTCGCCTTTTGGATAAAACCCGCTGCTTTGTCACGCGCTGCTTGAAGTTCCGATACGAACTGTTGGGATCGTGGTACCGGATTGTCGGGGGTCGTAGAAGTGGGTACCACGGGGTCCATCCCGTAATTGAGGTAGAACGATGACTGATTGGTTGTCGCGGAGGGTACGTTGTTGAACGCAAACTCCAGCATCGGGAGTAAATCCTCCCACTTGGTCAGGTCGGGGCAGTTCGTGCGAATCAACTGCTCCATGGTTTGATTTGTCCGCTCTGTCTGACCGTCGGTTTGCGGATGGTGTGACGACGAAAAATGCAGGCGGGTGCCGTACTGCCCACGCCCCCTGCCAGAATTTCGACGTAAATTTCGGATCCCGGTCGCTGACGATCGCCGATGGTAACCCGTATAGGCGTACGACGGTCGAGATGAACAGCTTCACATTTTCTTCGGTTGTGATCGTCGTGCGGCATGGTGGAAATGCGCCACTTCCGTTAAACGGTCAACGACGACCAGCACAGAGTCGTTGCCACTTGCGGCAGCGGACAGACCCGTGACGAAATCCATCGTCGCCTGTTTCCACAGTCGTTCGGGTGGCTCGAGGGGCTATAGCAATCCAGCTGGGCGTTGTCACGACGACTTCATAGCTTGGCAGGTCGGGCAAGCTGTCACGTAGCGCTGCATGTCCGACGCCATGTCGGGCCAATAATAAAGTCCGCTGCAGCATCTTCAGTGTTTTTTCGATGCCGAAATGCCCGGAGAGGTTAGAGTCATGAACCTCCTGCGCTAGCAACTCTCGTAAGGGTCGATATGACGGGACCGAAACTCGGTTCGTATCAACTTTTAGGTAATAATTCCCGTGTGGCGTTGTGACCCAAAGATGCTGGTTTCGCTTGAAGAAGCGATCGGTTTGGTATCAATGGGCGAATAGTCCCGATGAAAGCGGGTTGGAATGGGCGATAAGTATTGTTGCGGTCTGCACAGATGGGCGGGACAGGGCGTTGGCGATGTTGTTGGCGCCCTTTTTGTACGTGACGGTGTAGCGGAAGTTTGACTCCAGGTAGTCGAGCCGCCTGATTTGTCGCGGATTGAGCTGTGGTTGGCTGTGCATGTACTGTAACGACTTGTGGTATGTCCTGATCGTAACGTCGGCTCCCGTGAGATAGCAGCGCCAGGTGCGAATGCTTGCACGATGGCGAGTATTTCTTTGTCGTGTACAGGGTAGTTGCGCTCGGGTGGCTGCATCTTGCGTGACTCGTACGCGATTGGTTGCAACCCGTTGTCGAAGTCTTGTAGGAGGACGGCGCCGATGGCGAAATCGTTGGCGTCCGTTACGACTTCGAACGGTCGAGATGGATCTGCCAGCAGAAGTACCGGGGGTGAACTCAAAATTCGTTTGAGCTCGTCGAAGGCAAACTGCTCTCTCTCCCCCCACAGAATTAGCACGCCTTTGTGCATAAGGTCGGTTAATGCCTTGGTAACCCCCGCCATATTCGGTACCTAACGACGGACGTAGTTCACAAACCCGAGAAAACTCTGCAGCTCCGTGATGTTCGAAGGCGACTTCCACTCTGAAATTGTTGTTACTTTGCGAGGGTCAATTTCAATACCCTCCCCTGAAACCACGTCTCCCAGGAACTCCAGCTCCGGCTGTGAGAACTCAAACACTTAGAGTCCTTAGTAATCAGTCGGTTCTGCTGCAAGCGCCGGAGAACTTCCTCCAATTCCAGTAAATGATCTTCCCGAGTCTTGCTGTACACCAGGATGTCGTTGAGGTAAACAATGACTAAATTGTCGAGCATGTCCCGAAACACTCCATTCATGGTCAGCTGGAACGTCAAGGGCTTGTTCGTCAGGCCGAACGGCATCACCTTATATTCGTAACTGCCGTATCGGGTGCGAAACGTAGCCTTCGGGCAGTCATCGGCGAACAGAAGAATTTGGTGGTAGCCACCTTGCAAATCGAATTTCGAGAAGTAGCGAGCCCCGCGAAGCTGATCCAGCAGGTCGTCCGCTCGCGGAATTGGGTTACGCGACTTAATGGTGATCCGATTCAGCGCTCGATAGTCGATACACATGCGCAGGCCTCCGTCCTTTTTTGTATAAACAGTATTGGGGCGGCGAAGGGTGACGTGCTCGGCCGGATAAATCTCTTCGAGAGAAGATAATCTAAGTGTTTCCGCAACCCGTCGAGCTCCGGTTGGCTGAGCCACCACTGGGACCGAACAATTGGTTGCGCGCCGGGCTCCAGCTCAATCCTGTGGTCTTCTGGTCGCTGAGGTGGCAGCCCATCAGGAAGGTAATCCACGAAAACTCCGGGATACCCCCGAATTATGCTCACCACGTCTTCGGGTACAGCAGCGCAGGGAGTGTCAATGTCTGCGACTTTTTCAGACACCACCTACGACGTAGGCTTGCGCTCCCCGTTTATCGCCTTCTTCAGAGTGATCGCGTTGATACGTGTCGTCATCGGCTCTGGCTCCGTCCATTTCGGAAGTGTCACGCGCCCCTTGTTGCGTGGCACCGTGCATGCTCCCGTCGTCCAGTCGATCGTTGGATTGAATCGCCGTAGCCAATCTCGCCCCAGCAGCACATCGCAACCGTACAGTGTTGTTGCCAGCATCTTCATGCAGAACCCGAAATCGTCGCCACACTTCATCCGAATTTGTCGCGCCTCATCACGTATCGCCAGCAGTGTCCCATCCACCAGCCTTGCATCGATCTCCAGTAGACTCCTGTCCAACTTGACTCCAAAATTTATGGCCGTTGACATTAACGAGGTTGTGACTCGCCCCTCCATCAACGGATATTTTTATTTTATACCCGTTAACCCTCCCCACGACCAGCACAGAGTGATCTACGTGTTCATCCACCTTATTCGTCCAGTTGCGGTCGATAGCCCGTATCGGTACCACTACTCGGCGTGGATGTTGATTGCCAGGCAACAGGGTCTCGTAAGTAGGTGGCCCAACTGCTACTGACTCGTCTCTTTTCCCGACCCCTCTCAGTCGTTCTTGTTCCCCTGTTTCAGCTTTGGGCAGTCTTTCCTCCAGTGGCTCGGTTGGATGCAATAAAAGCACGGCCCTGAGGTCGTCTAGGCGCATCCACACCGTTGATTGTGGGCGGTTGAGGCGATCCACGAAAACGATTTCCCTCCCGGAAACTCACTCTCGCCCACTGCATCAGCGCATCCGTTCATTCCATCTGCACGGCGTCGTTGAATTCGCGTGGCATCGTACGTCGCACCTCGAACTGTATTTCATACTTGAGGCCTACGACATATTTATCGAGCCGCTCCGCATCACCATGTCGTCCACTTGGTCGGCCAACGCGTAGAATGTCGCTGTGTAGTCTGGGACCGATGTCAACTGCTTCCAAGCACGCATCTTCATGCGAGCAGAATCCGAGGCGGATACATGCTCGAATCTGGTTCGCAAGGCTGTGCCCCACTCCATCCATGTGCGTATCGTGGCCACTCCGAATATTGATGTTGCTCGTTGCGTGACAGGTGTCGAGGTCACGTCGTCGTTCGCACGTGATTATCCTGCCGAAGTCCCCTCTGACTGCAGCGTGCGTTGCCACCACTCCAACGCAGGTCCTCGTAACAGTGATACTGCAAAATTATTACGGGTGGCATCGCAATTTGCTTATCATTAAAGAAAACCTCCACTC